CTGGGCAGCCTGTTCCAATGCTTGACCACCCTTTCCGTGAAGAAATTTTTCCTAATTTCCAGCCTAAACCTCCCCTGGCGCAGCTTGAGCCCATTTCCTCTTGTCCTATCGCTAGCTACTTGTGAGAAGAGACCAACACCCACCTCACTACAACCTCCTTTCAGGTAGTTGTAGAGAGCGATAAGGTCTCCCCTCAGCCTCCTCTTTTCCAGGCTAAACAACCCCAGTTCCCTCAGCCGCTCCTCATAAGACTTGTTCTCCAGACCCTTCACCAGCTTCGTTGCCCGCCTCTGAACACGCTCCAGCACCTCAATGTCTTTCTTGTAGTGAGGGGCCCAAAACTGGACACAGTATTCCAGGTGCGGCCTCACCAGCGCCGAGTACAGGGGGACAATCACCTCCCTGCTCCTGCTGGCCACAGCATTCCTGATACAAGCCAGGATGCTGTTGGCCTTCTTGGCCACCTGGGCACACTGCTGGCTCATGTTCAGCCGGCTATCTACTAACACCCCCAGGTCCTTTTCGGCCAGTTTAGTAGCAACAACTATTAACATTTATCACTTAAACAGATATTTTACAGGATTTATATATAAAGTTATAATGAATATTTTTATTTAACAGAGAGTACAAGTTACATTTATATTTTTTGCTATTCTTCTTGTAGCTTGTTTTATAGTACAATAATTACTTAAGTTCTCACATATAATTCTTACTGCACTAGCAATTACAAGCACAGAACGCAATAAATGGTGAAATATGTAGTATATATGCAAAAGAACAAGAGAAAAGACTCCATTTCATATATTCAGGTATCCATATACGTATGTAAATTAAAATGCACTTCACATGGAACACTTGACTTGTCTCAACACATTGGCACATTGAGATGTGCCAACACTGACATCTACTGGTGTTAGTCAGGCTTGGGGTAGTTTTTCTGCAAACACTAAATTAATAATGAAGTTTCTTTGTGCATTCATGGAACTAAAGTGTGTAACTTCTGTTACTTGCAATTTCCCTGTCAAACATATGTCTGCTATAGTGGACTTGACTGTCATTTATGCTAATTGCAATGTATTTCCATTTTAAGACCTGTTTAAATTATCAGAATACTGTGTAAACGGGGGGGTCTCAACATAACTGAAAACCAGCCATTTGATTTAGCAAACAAAATGCCTTCTGAAGTACATTTGGACGTTAAAAAGGAATCCTTAAAATGTAGCACTAGCCCAGAAGTTGTAGTTCTTACAGAGAGAAAGATTATAGATCTGGGAGTAGTTCTTGAACTCTTTCTGGAATGTTCCTTTCTTCAAGTGGAAGCTTTGACAAAAGACCTGTTTCTTAAAGAGAAGAAAAACAAGAATTGAAAACCTAAGTTTTTACAAGTGTTTGGCCTTCCTAGTTTTGCCTTACACCTAAGTATTTGGTGGTTCTGACTCTTCAAGGTGGTATCTGCATAAAAGAAATGTCAAGTGAAGTTATGCAAGATACAAAAAGGCATAAAACAATCAAAATATTCCTTAGCATTTGTCGGTTAAAAGTGTTTTAAGTGAACAACATAAAGAATTGTCCCTCTTTTAGGGCACTTTTTGTCATAAATAGTTTTCAAATCAAGGAGGTTATACTAAGTAATGACTGTGAGTTAATGTGAAACAACATTCAGGCTTTTCATTTCTGGAAGAGAGAAGCACCATGGAGGAAAGCCCCAAGTAACAGTAATACTGATCTAATATTCTGTTTCCATCTGCTGGTAAAAAACTGTAAAATCAGAAAGTCTCAGGGAGATGCAGGCATTTCTGCATGAAGGAATCTTAAGAAACATAACATGAAGCTACAAATCCTGTTAAAATTTTTGTAGGATATCTGCCAGGAACAGGCTTGACTATCCATATATAACCTTCATGAAAATAGATTTAGCTTAATACTTGTCTTCATGGCTAAAAAAGTAGCTTTTTTAACTCTCAGATAACTGATGCCTGCAGAGTATGCCAAGATTAAACAGGAGAGCAAAAGCAAGGCACCTTTGCTATCTGATGAAATAAACTTAATACAGTCAATGCCAGGAGAGAGTTGTAGCTGACCTTGGGAAGTTTACATCTTGATAAATTGATACACCCTGCTCCGCAAGACGTTTTTTGCAGATGTGAAAAGTTATATACATTTTTAAGCCTGTGGATATTTTTCATAATGAAGACAAGACTTTAAAGCAAGAAAATTATTGCTTTCTTGATCTGATCTACCATAAAATCCTACCACCATAGGCTTCTTTGGACTTTGTTACAGTCAGACAAGATTCTTTCACAGAACAACTCAGAACTAGTACAAAAAATAAAGATATATCTATTGTTATTTAAATAGTTGACAAAGTAATTTGAATTTTACTATCTGCTACACAGAAATTATTATTAGCGCGCGCCCCCCCCCCCCAGATCATTTGCATTTGTGAAATTAGCTAAATGTGTGGAATTGGTCAGTAATGAAATGTGAACAGTTTAAACAGACCTAAATTAGTGTCAGGTAAATTACACCTTCGACCATCAAGGCTCACATAAGGCAACCGGTTTTAAAATTAAAAACAGAAGATGATGGTAGATGGTGCCACTAGATGGCAGTGCTCCAAAGAATTTAGTTTTCTAGATTTCGTGGCTTAAACAAATTCAGCAAGGAATTTTGGTATGGGCTTCTTTTTAAACTTTAATTCTCTTCATCTCCAGGGAATGTAGCTCTCAATGTAAAAATTTCTTCCCAAAATTTTTTAGTGATTCATAAAGCTCAGACTCACCCTCAATTTCCTCAACCTGTTGGCTACTTCTTGAAAAACAAACCATTCTCTTCTTCAAATGCCGTTCTCCCATAGTTTCTACAATTCATCTCTCCTAGTTCCACTCCCATCTAACTCCTTCAACTCTTTGGGTATTTCAAGGGGTTCTGTACTCTACTCTCTCCTCTTCTTCCTCTACTCTATTTCTAGTAATGTTCTAGTCAAAGACCACATACAGGTTCCCTTTCCGTGTTAATGAATCAGAGCGTGATTCATCACTGTTCTGCACCAACAAAAATATCAGATGATCTTCCTCTTAGGGACATCAAGCTGCCAGTGCTAGTTCAGCAAGGCTGAAAGACAAGGATCTTATGAGCCTTTCCCTTTTCAACCTTCATGGCGTCCCCACTACTTACTTTCTTCATCACTATGGCTAGCATCCCATCATTCACACACTTAGAACACCGGTATCATTCACAACATTCTAAAATTAAAGTCTTTTTCTAATCTCTC